GCCGTCCAATGACTCAGCAGAAAGAGGATTATTTGATCCAAGATGACTACAAAGCTTAGTTTGTGACTAAGGGTTGGCCAGAATAGGAAGAAACAGAAAAATTAACTTCTAAAAGTAAAATCTTCCTGAGGTGGAGCCAGGCACTGTGATGCATGCTTGTCGTCCCACCTACTCAGGAGGCTGAGGCAGGAGGATCACTGGAACCCAGGAGTTGCAGACCAGCCTGGGCAACATAGTGGGACCCTGTCAGCACACCGTCCTGCTGCTGCCCCTCGGCCCTGGCCCACAGGCCCTCGGGGCTGGGCGGATGTGGGTGCCTGGCCATGGGTAGGGGTCCTGCGGGGGCTGCTGCCCTGGGACCCAGGCTGAGTGGGCACCCTGCTTGCATCAGGAAGGAGTTATTTATTCCCTCTTGTGCCCCGGGAATGGGTGGCTGGAGCCTTTACTACCTACGCGGGAGTGGCAGGCGACGCTGAACTATGAGCGGCTCCAGGGCAAAGGCAGCAGCCAAGCGGAAGGCCTGGGCCAGGCGGGGAGCCCGCCTTCTGGGGTCTGTGGCAGCTGTCAGCCCTGCAGGGGGAGGGCTGGGGCTCCCGAGGAGGGCTGGGTGACGAGGAGTCAGTTCCGGGAGGCTCAGCAGGACAATGGGACGATGTTCCCATGGAATCAGCAGGTGTGGTGGGGCAGGGGCGTAGTCCCAGCACTGGGGAGGCTGAGGCAGGAGGATCGCAGCAAGTCTGAGGACGGCCTGGGCTACCTGGCAAATCCCTGTCTCAAAAAACAAGCGAACAATACGGGGCAGCGCCCACTCTCCTGGCTGAGCAGCTTCTTTGCTCTGCGGCCCAACACGCAGCAGCCGGAAGCAGATGCTCAGTCCACACACGTTGAGCAGAAAGGAAATCTGCCCCTTTGCTCAGATATCTGGGGTTCGGGAGGCTCCTGGGAAGCTGCACCGGTGCTGCGGGGCCCGGAGAGCTGAGTCGGCTCTACGGGTGAGCTTGGCGCCCTCTCCGGGAACTTGCCGATGGCCGTGACCTCAGCAGGGCGGCCAGGCAGCGACATCTGTGCCTCCCGTGATCAGCACCGAGCACCCCGTCAGCGGGGACAAAGCCACGGGGCAAACGCGTGTCCCCCTCGGTGGCTGCCAAAGTGTGGAAATAAGGTCCAGTTGTCCCAGCAGCAGCCTGCGGCTGGAGCGAGCCGTAAACACCGTCAGGAAGCCGCCCGCTCCCCGCCGAGCCTGAGCCAAACAAACTCCTGTTTTCCCAGCTGCCGCCTGTGCTCGCCCCAAACCGCGGCCAGAAAACAGGGGGAGAAGGAAAACAGTCGCTGGCCCAGGCCGGGAACAGTGACTTCCGAGCCCTTTGTTTTCTTACTCCATGAACTCTCCAGAAGTACAGAAACGGAGGAAGTGGCTCTGATGGCCTGGACTTACTGAAAAGGAAACAGAACACATACTTTTTCCCTCTTTTTCTTTGGATTTCTGAGGCAGGGTCTTGCTATGTAGTTCAGGCTGGCCTTGGCCTCTCTATGCAGCCCAGGCTGGCCTCCAATATGCAGTGATCCTCCTGCCTCAGCCCCCTGAGTGCTGGGATTACAGGCGGGCACCTCCAGGCCAGGTTTAGAAGCAGAAATTTTTACAATAGATGTGCCACTTTAAAATGTGCCTGGGCCTTTCAATAAAGTCAGCTCTTGGTTATTCTTGGCTTTTCAATCTCTTTCCAGAACTGCTGGTGGCAGGGCACATAGCTCCTAGCAGCAGAACGCAGTGGACGCAGGTCACTGGGGTCTGGTCACCCGCACCCTCTCCTGACGCCCCGACCCTCTGCCGGCTCTGCTGAGCATGAGCTCCACCCTTCTTTGGTACTTTGCCCTCCAAATGCATCTGCCTTTGAAGCTATCATGGACCCTTGAGTTATGACTGTCCTGACGTACACACAGCTTGGGTTGCTACTGGAATTTTAGTTTTAACTTATGACCAAAGTCTTGAGTTACAGCCCAAATGCCAGCTGCTTGTGCCTCCAGATGGTCTCAGATACAGATTGAACCCTTAAAGAGTTCTGGAAGGAACATGACAGCATCCTCTCCTGTGTGGGGCTCACTGAGGAATTTTTTTTGATTTTATATTTTTATGTTTTGATTTTTTGAGACAGGGTCTCACTATGTAGTCCAGGCTGGCCTTGAACTCACTATGTGGCTCATGTTTGCCTGAACTCTTGGGGTCCTCCTGCCTCAGCCTCCTGAGGGCTGTGATGTCAGGTGTGGGCCACCACGCCAAGCTCAGACACAGGAATCGAGAAACTGTGTTCGTAGAAATAAGTAGCTGGGGACGGAATTAGCTGTTACTCGGCTCTGAACTATCTCGAGATATAAGACAACGATCACAGCGCCACTTATCACAAAAAACCACTTTAGATGATTGATCTACTGATTCAATCAGAGTTTCCTGCAAGTCTCTTCAGAGGGAAGAGTTAGGACTCGAGACTCGCAGAGGGCCGAGTCCCTGCGATGAGAACCTGGTTTCATCCTGAGGTTTGGAATCGCACCCGTGTTGGTGGAGGCGTGTGCACCCCGGAGCACGGGCTGAGCGTGGGCGGGGTCCGCTCCGTGCGAGGCGGCAGAGGTGCTTCCCGACCCTGCCTTCTCCACGCCCTGAGGGATGCCCTGGTGTGCGGCCATCCTCCTAACCCTCTGCCAGGCACGGCCCCCTGTGTACTTTCCTCTGCCTGGAGAGTGGTCCTCACCGTGGGGACAGATGTTCCAGGGACGCTCGCAGGGAGGCCCCCAGAGGGTGGGGGACACGACCTCAATTGGCCCCCCAGTGACACGGTCAGACTCCAGCTGCCAAGGCTGTGGGGGAGGGGATGGCCCAGTGAGAGTCCTGGTTTCATGCAGTGGAGACCCCAGCAAGCCCCAGCAGAGATCAGCAAGAAGATGGTACATGTCTCACACAGTAATAACCGCCTGGGCAAGTGGCCCTGGACTAAAGGACGGGCTCAACAATGTCATTGAGTTCCAGGTCCCTCTCTTCTGCCATTCCATCATCCTTCGCTGGTGAAACGGGCTTGGTGCCTCATGCCTGCAAGATGGCTGCGTTACCTCCAGCCTCACAGCTAAGTTCCAGGCATGAAGAGAGAGGAGGGCGGGGAGCTGGCTTGTTATTTGGAAAAGTCAAAGATTTCTCGCATTTCCACTGGCCAGCACTGGGTTCTGTGGCCATGCCTAGACGCAGGGCACTGGGATTGTGAGCAATTTCTGTTTTACCCTTTCTAGTCAAGAAAGCAAAAAAGAAGGCATTGGAGAACAGACGTGGGTGGATCAGTTTCCAGCTCAGTCACACCCCCTGTGCAGCGGGCGTGTGCACATGCGACATCACGGCCCTCCGGCCCTCCGGGCGGGTTGCTGCCCTTCATCTCCGACCATGCACCCAGTGGCCTCTTATCCTACTTCCCAGGGCCTCCACCTCCTTCACGGTGTCGGAATCCAGCAGCTGTGCTGGGCTGGGGGATGCCCAGGGCCTGCGCCAGGGGCACAGGAATGGGTTAGGTCAGAGAGGAAGTCAGGACTTGCTGCCCGACCTCACCCCAGACTTCAGTCCTCCTCATCACCCCAAGAGTGGGTCCTCACAAGACAAAAGAGCCAGCAGGAAGCAGCCACTTTGTGCTGTGAGGCAGGACTCCGGGCTCCTTTTCTGACTCAGAGCCTGGCTGTTTAGGTCACCTTGACGCTGCAGCCCTCAGTTTCCCACCTGGTTCCTCTCTGTGGGGCTGTGTGGTGGGAGACAGCGACCGAACTGTAGATGGGACCTGGGATGGCCCTCAGGCTCCAGAGCTCTCTGCCCAGATCTTGCTAAAGATTTTGGAGAATCAAGGTGAAAACAGGAGGTGTAGGGCTGGGTGTGGTGGTGCACATCTGTGATACCAGAACTCAGGAGGCTGAGGCAGGAGGATCACCTCGTTTGAGGCCATCCTGGGCTACATAGAGACCCTGTCTCAAAAAACCAAAAACCAAAACCAAAAGACAACAACAAGATATATTTGAAAACTAAAATTAAAATAATGATTACAGGGCCAGGGATTTAGCTCAGTGCCACTGCCTGCCTTGAAAGCGCAAGGCCCTGAGTTCAATCCCTGGTACCCAAACTAAAAATGATTACAGTAAAAGCCACATCACCATGATCCCTGAACATCCTCCCCTCACTTTGAGTGCACTCGTCCCGTCCTGGCTGCTTCCTGCAGCAGCTCCGGAGCCCTTGCTCCTGAAGGTCTTTAGCTGCGCTGTCCGGGCTGCCTCGGTGTCTGAACCCATTCAAAACGCTTCCCTTCCCATCATCCTGACTCTGGGGAGGACCGGAGGTCACATGGTGCCAGATGCGCTGACTCAGGTGGACGAAGACGCAGGGTCGTGTTTTCGGAGCTGCCTTTCTTTCTTTTTTTGTACCGAGGATCGAACTCAGGACCTTGCTCTTGTGAAGCAGGCAGTGGCACCACTGACCTAAATCCTCGGTCCTTTTTTTGTTTTTTTTCCTGAGCTGCCTTTCTGCAGGGTGGTGCTCGGTGGGAGCAGAGTCACCGAGTTTCTGATTGCACAGAACACCGGCCTCCGACTCCTCCACACGCCTGGACCAGCAGAGAGCGGCACTGCGTCCGACCCAGGGGTTCGCACAGACAGTGACTGCGTCCCTCCCTCGCTCCCGTGTCCTGCACCCAGGGCGTGGGGGCGAATTCTGCCCCAAGCCCATCCCGGGCTGCAGGACCGCGCTGCCCTGACTGGAGGCACCCACTGCGACTGTCCCGAGCTCCCTGGCGGGATGGGTGTGCCTCTCCTCGCTGCACGTGACCCTCGGCCACGCAGCGAGGCTGGGCAGCGCCTGAGGCCCTGCGTGATGGAGTCGGCCCTTGGGCATGAGCACCCGCCTTGTAGGGAGCAGCGGGGCCTGAGACAGCTCGGCTTCACCCCCCTTCTCATGGCCCCTTCCCCTTTGAAACAGATCTCCTTGCTTCCGATTGTCTATCTTTTACTTTGCTCTCGTTTATACTGTGGGTGTCTCACACAGGAGAAACCATGGGATATTGAAGCTCCTGCGTCTGATTTATTTCACTTAAGTGACGGCCTCAAGGTGGACCCATCTTCCTACCAATGACCCACGCTCTCCCTTCTTCATGGCAGAGTAGTACTCCATGGCATATAAACACTTTCTTGAGGCACAGAGGCTGCTGCGGCACCTTGTGCACGGCGTGTGTGCAGCTCCGTGACACGCTATGAGGCTGGAGGCCCTGGTGCCCCACCACGACATGCAGCCCCGAGCCAGGGCTCAGCAAACACCCGTGAAGAGGGGTTAGGACGAGTGGCTGAGGCAGCAGGTCTCCAGGGTGACAGCGGTGGGCTGTGGACAGAGGGCGAGTGGACAAATGATTTCTACTGAGATACTTCAATCTCTCCTTACTGAGGACGGACCAGGGCCTTTGCACTGAGCTGCATCCCCAGGCTTTCTCAAGCAGTGAGACAAGGTCCTGCTAAGGCACTAAGTTGCCCGGGCTGGGCTCAGACTCGGTGACCCTCCTGCCTCAGCCTCCCGCAGTACTGAGATCACAGGCGTGCAGCGTCACGCCCTGCCTGGCTTCCCTAGTTTCTGGGCAATCCATTCTCAGTTCTCCTCCCCCTCGCAGACGTACAGTTTTACTGAAGTGAGACAGGGAGCTCTTGAAAGAAGGACGCCCAGCACCCTGAGCAGCACGCAGTGGCAACAGGGATGACGGAGGGAGGAGACCACACCAGGCAGCGACCCTGCCACCATCCTGCGCCCTCCGCAGGCGTCGTCTGTTCTCAGCCCTGGGCCGGGGGAGCCGGGCACCAGGAGAGGAGCTGGCGCAGCTGCAGGGGCGGGAGGTGAGCGGAGGGCCCTTTCTCCCCTCCAGCTTGTGCCGATCGGGCCTGCTCCCGGAACGCAGGCGCGTGTGCCCGTCCACGCTGGGGCTCCTGCAGCTCCCCGCTCCACCCAGGTGCCCGAGTGAATGATCAGAAACCAGACGCTGCCTGGCTCCGAGCCTGTGTCTCCGGCCCTTCCTCTGACCCTCTCTCCCGACAGATGGCCCGGCGCGAGCCAGTTGCGCAGTGCTCGGCAGAGAGGCAACTGGCCTCTCACAGGATGATGCTGGCTGGGGCCGGCCTGGGCTGGGGTGGCTCCGCCCCCGGCCCCCGGCTCCCGCAGAGGAGGAGAAAGGTCAAGCTCTGCCGTTAACCGCAGCCCCACAGCGCCAAGTGCTTCAGTTTGCTGGGTTTGAGGCTGTGTCCCTGGGTCAGGTTCACGGGCAGGGAAAGCCAAAGGCCAGAGTGGATCTGCTCACTGCAGCTCTTGCTGGTTGGCGCTGAGCTTCTGCTCCAACAGCAGGGGGCCCGTCCAGCTCCTCTCCAGGAAGCCGTTTCTCTCCCCTTCCCCACATCCCTTATCTGATTTTGCTTTTCTGTTTTGAGGTCCTGGGGATCAAACCCAGGGCCTTGCACCAGGCAGGCACTCTACCACTGAGCTGCATCCCTGGCCCCTTGGAAAAATGTTTATTTTGCGACAGTGGCCCCAGCTGGGCAGGAATTTGAGATCCTCCTGCCTCAGCCTCCAAGTAGCTGGAATTACAGGCACCTACCACCCCAGCTCCAGGGATCTTTATCTCAGTGTCTGCTCCCTTCTGCCTTGGTCACATTTGTTCCCTCAACTTCCACAGGCCCAGCACGGCCTCCCCTGCTCCTCATCTTTGCATTTCCGTGTCTGTGAGAAGCGACTCCCTCTGCTCCTGAAGCGCGGAGAGCGGGAAGCTGTCCAGCCGAAGCTCAGTGCCCCCGGGGCGGCTGCAGTTTGAAGCTCAGCTCTGACCTGGCCTAGGGCTGGCACACACCAGAGTGAGTGTGCCTGTGTTCGAGGCCAGGCCCTCTGGACAGCTCGGTTGGCTGAGCGGCAGGACGGTTGGTGCTTGTGTGGGAAACCTCACAGGCTCGCCGTGGGACGCAGGCACACACGTGTGCAAATCGGTTGCCACGGCTTGTCCTCATTACGTGGTCATCACTGTGGCCCTTGTTCTGATCTGTCACCAGCATGGAGCCCAGCAGTCGGTTGTCTGAGGCAGGAAGACCACTGTGAGTTCGAGGCCAGCCTGGGCTACACAGTGAGACCCTGTCTCAAAGAACAAACAGACAAACAGAAAAGGAAAAGAAAAGAAAAGAAAAGAAAGGAAGTGAAATCTACCAGGGCCAGCGCAGCCTGGGCTGCCCGGGCCCAGGTGATGAGGGCCACCAGGGAGGGTCTGGGCAGCGATCTTGCTCCGTCCTGGGTGCAGCAGGTGACAGGGTGAACGTGCTACAGGGCCAGGAAGGGCTCCTCCTGAGGTTCCCGTCAGAACCCCAACCAGGACCCTGAGTGTCCGGCTGAAGAAACTCTTGGTTGGTTGGTTTGTTGAGCCTGGGTCTCTATACAGTCCACAGTCCGGCTGGCCTCAAACTCCAGGTGATCCTCCTGCCTCAGCCTTCTCGCTGCTGGGGTGGCAGGCTGCTTTGCCTGGCTTTCATCTTGTCAATGATGTCTTTTGCCGTAGGTAAGTTTTAGTGTTGTGCATCTTTTCCTTCATGGCTTCCTGTTTTTGTGGCTTGTAGTAAAAAGGCTGCCACCGAAGGCCAGGAACCTGGTATCATCAATTCATTTCTATTTTTTGGAGAAATCGCCCGTAAGTCTCTGAGCCTGGTGTGCTTTGCACCGGATGGAAGGAGACACAGTTTTAACCAACAGTTTGACTTTTTAGAAGAGAATTTTTTTTTTTTTTTTTTGGTACCAGGGATCGAACTCGGGTCCTTGTGCTTGCGCAGCAGGCGCCGGAACCACTGAGCTAAATCCCCCCCCCCCCCCGGCACTTTAACTTTTTAAATGGTTGTTATTGGCTGGGCGTGGTGGCACAGGCCTGTCATCCCAGCACTCAAGAGGCTGAGGCAGGAGGATTGCCTGGAGTTCAAGGCCAGTCTGGGCTACATAGTGAGAACCTGTCTCAGAAAAATCAAAATAAATAAATAAGTGGTTGTTACTTTGTTAATGCTTTCTGCTTCAAGGGCAAATCTGGCTATTTATAGCTTCTCAGAAAGGCACACTTTTAATTCAGATCTTGAATAAACAAAGTGCGTGCATCCTTACTGTAGCCGATTGCCCTTCACACGAGCTCTGCTCCCTTCTAAGCCTGATACTGCCTATTAAGCTTCTTCTCTGTTTTAATTCATTTTCTAGACACCTAATTATTTTTTACCTTAACACAGCAGTCTTTTGGTTTCCTTGGTCATTTTGCTGAGTTTCTCCCCGTTGCGTTAATTTCTGCTCCACGCTAGCGAATTCCTGCTCCTCCTCCTTGGCTCCCTTCCGATTCGAGTTTCCATCTTCTGACGTCTCCCTGAGGCAGCGAAGGCTGGCGCTTTCCCCCCCAGACGCCCAACCGGCCTCAGTGGTGGCTGTGCTCTGTGGGATTTGTCTGGGCTTCATTCCTCGGCTTCCGAAGTCACTGCACTCAGCCAGGGACTGCGGCCTGGACAACAAGCTTTGAACACATGCTGCTATTTGCTTTAGGCATAGCACAGAGTCAAATTCGGTGAACTTTGCCTGTGTTTTTAACTAAAAGCAAAGTCTGAAGCATTATTTTACCTCCCTTCACCGAGCCTGGGATGTGGGCTGTGACTGAGAGGCGCATGGCAGCGGAACCTCCGCCACTCCCGTGCCTTGGTGTGGCTTTGTGAATGAACAGGTTAATTTAGCCACAGGTTTTGTTTTCTTTCTTTCTTTCCTTCTTTCTTCCCTTCTCTCTCTCTTTCCTTCTTCCTTCCTTTCTTTCTTTCCATCCATCTAAGGTTCCATGCAGGAACCTTAGGCTTTGGGGACACCAAGTGAGCTGCAGCGGATGTGGTGGTGCACGCCTGAAATCCCATCACTCAGGAGGCTGAGGCAGGAAGATCGCCATGAGTCCGAGGCGAACCTGAACTGCATATCGAGACCCTGTCTCAAAAATAAAATAAATAACACTGTAATGGCCACACACACACACACACACACAGAGCGCTCTGCCTCACGTCCTGACTGTTCCTCAGAGTGCCTTTGTGGAACTGCACCCAGCACGCAGCAGCCCCTCACACACCCCTGTCTCACCCTCAAGTTGCCGAGCTCTGTGCTGGGACAGCGGTACCTTCGGGCATCCGGGCAGGGACGCCTGTAGCGTGGACGTGCTGTGCAGAGAGGACACAGACGCAGGGCCCCTCACCCCACTCCCTATGAGCCGGCCACACTGGCCCATGCCCTGTGGTGTGGCTTCCGGGAGCCGGGTCTCCGAGAGCTCTTGGCAGACGCCCGGCTTCCCCCTCCACCTCTGCCCCGGCTACCCTGTCTCTGGCCTGCCGAGCCTGGGGACCTGGGCTCAGGGGGGCGCGGCTTCCCTGTGGCCCGGGTTGCAGCGTGGGCAGAGGGACAGGGTCTCGGGGACAGCGGAGAGCAGGGCCGGCACTCCCCGCCTGCCCTGAGACTGGGATCAAGGAAGTTCAGATGCGTGGGGCAGGTGGGACCCCCCAGGAACAGGGACTGAGTTTTGGGGCAGTTGCTTTTCACACTTCTGACTTGTTCTCTCATCGTCACTGTGTTTGGGACAGGGTCTCGCTACGCAGCTCAGGCTGGCCTTGCACTAACTGAGCGCGGAAGCTGGCCCTCAGCTGGCAGTGATGCTCCTGCCTCGGCCTCCTGAGAGCTGGGATGACAGGTGTGCTTTGGTTTGTTCTTTATTAAACAAAGATGAGCTCAGAGTGAGAGCACCGGGACTGGCATTTTAGCTGCTGCGGCCGAGGGGAAGGCAGGGACTGGGTCACAGCGGCCGGGTTCGCCATGTGCTCCGCGGGCTCCCTCTCCACAGACGCAGCCTCCTCCATGCCGTGTGGCTCGGTGCACACTTCACCTCCCGAGCCACTCCAGCACCTTGTTCTGGGCTCCGGAAGTACTGCGCGTGCAGCACTACCACCCTGCACCACCACCCTTCGCTGCCTGGCCCTCTCCTGGACTAAAGAGACCCCTTGGAGAGCAGGGACCGGGTCTCCTTTTCCTTGGCATCTCAGGCACCAGCACAGGGCCTGGTACAGAGGAGGTATTTCATGAATTTGTAGGAACAGGAGGCTGAGGCAAGAGCATCCCCACAAGGTGAAGGGCAGCCTGAACTACCCAATGAGGCTCTGTCTCAAAACAACAGCAAAAAAGAAAGCAAATTCATAGGAACAAATGTTCTGGCTTAATGCTGGGTCTGAGGAACACTAAAGGGAACGAAGTCCAGAGAGAAGGGTATTTACTAAGCACCTGCTACACACAGGCACTGTCCTGAGCCTTTCACAGGGACCGTCTTCCTCCAGCACACAGAGCCAAGCTCTCCGTGTAGTGTCCATGATTGGCCTTTGCTGGTTAAGTAAGGTGACTAAGGACCCAGCCGGGTGACTTTCCCAGGCCACACCCGAGATCCAGGCCACTGTGTCCCGCTGGCCGAAGCTGGCACCAGCCCTGGCCCTGGGGAGTGCAAAGTTCCACACGGAGGCAGGAAGATAAGAGGTTACTCACCCCACGGCGTGGAATGCCTGCCGCAGATGTGTGTGCCGCCTGAAGGAGCCCTGCTGAGGGCGGTGGACCCAGGGAAACTCCCGAAGAAGTGGTATCCGTGCCAGGCCTGGCTTTGACTGAATTCAGGAGGCTGAGGCAGGAGGACCTCGATTCAAGGACAGCCTGGAGTACTGAGTGAGACCTTGTCCCAAAACAAACTGAATTTAAAAGGAAAAAGAGCACCTCAGTGTGGCTGCACCTGAGGGACCTAGGACAGAGCCCGAGAGGCGGGAAGTGCTGGGCCGAGGACAGCGGGGCCGGGCCAGATGACGTGACCTGGCTGGCGAGAAGCCTGGAGGGGAAGCAGCCCAGCAGGACTGGTTTGTGGAAGGGCCCAGAGCGGCTGCGGAAAACAGCCAGGACGAGGGACAGGAGCTGCTTCCCGGCCACCACCGCTGCCCCTCTTCCCAGCCCGGAGCTGGCCGTGGCTGCTCCGTGAACTCAGCTCTTTTTCGTATTTTTAATTTCGAGACAGGATCTCACCAAGTTCCCCAGGTTGGGCTTGAACTTTCGATCCTCCTGCCTCAGCCTCCCAGAGTGCTGGGACGACAGGCCTGCACCATCACGATGCTAAAAGCCAGTCAAGGGCCATCTTCCCCTCAGGACTCTGGTATGAGCCCTGTGAGGCTGGGCACCACGCCTGCCGCTTACTGTCTCCTCTCCAGCCTTCGGCACCAGCCACGGCATATAGCAAGTGCTCAGGAAATATTTGTTGATTGAGTATTTGTTGACTGACTGCAGAGCATCCACTTACTCACCTCCCTGTCATCCAGCATCTAAGACCTCACAGACATCCCACATGGCTGCAACGGGGCGTACTGGCACACACCTGTCACCCTAGCACTATGGAGGCTGAGGCAGGAGGATTCCTTTTGAGTCTGAGGCCAGTGAGGCCTGCCTAGGCTACATAGTGAGTTCAAGGCCAGCCTGGGTTATGTAGTGAGACCCTGTCTCAAAAAACCCCAATAATATAAAATAGTAAAATAAAACCCTGTGTGATTCCGGCTCCCTTCTCAGAGTCATCCTGAGCTGCACAATCTGACCCTCCGCACCCTCTCCTGGCCCCTCTGGCTCCTGCTCTCAGTGCCGGCTGGGAGATCAAATCCAGGAAGCAGGAAGTGGCTTCCGTGTGTGCCTGGAAGCTCCTTTTGGAAACCTGAGCTTCAGATCTTCTTCTGACATATGCAAGGGACAAACATGATCAAACACACACGTGGAAGCCCGGTGTCTGGTGCAACTGACAGGTGCCAGTCGTAGAGGAAAGGCCACAAAGGCAACCTGCTGCTCTGCGTAGATAGACAGAGTGGTGGTCGCTTAGGAGACATGAGGGTTGCTGAGGGGGAAGAGGAGCCTTTCCAGAGTGGAGGAAATGTCGTCTAGCTTGTGAAGGACACATCACTACCTGGATTATATCTCATGGGGCTTTAAAACTCGACTGCTTTATATGAGCATATATATTTGTCAAAATTCAGATTGCACACATATGATCTGTGTGTTTTCCTAAAGATAAATTTTTCCTCAGTTAAAAATATTTTTAGGTGTGGTGGTGCACACCTGTAATCCCAGCACTTGGGAGGCTGAGGCAGGAGGATTTCTCCAAGTTCGAGGCCAGCCTGGTTTATGCAGTGAGTTCAAAGCCAGCAAGCTCAAGACCATGTCTCAAAAACAAAAATTAACGTAAAACATGCTTATTAAGCAAAACATTACCAAATAAAAAGTAAATAAAAATAAGAAAACCAAAAAGATCTGTGATCTCTTCAGGCAAAGAGGAACTCTGCTTATATTTGAACGTGTGTCCTTCCGAATGATCTCTAACGGGCACACGTATGCAGGATGGACTCAGACAGAACCTAGTGTTGTTGATGTTTTTATGCAGCATGTTAAGAACGTGCACAAGAGAGTCTTTACTCGTCTCTCTTAAAGGACTAGTCTGCTAAGCGGCCTGAAAATCAGGGTCCTGTCTGCTTCCAAAGCCCGTGACTCACTTCCTGGCACCACCTGAATGATGTGAGGCTTGGAAGTGTCCCCGAAGAGGCGTCCTCGGGCCCTGACGCCGTGACCGCGACGAGATCCATCACCCGCGGCTGATCTTCAGGCCGTCACCGGATTTATGATCGGCTCCCGTTCAGCGGCCATTCTGGTGACTGAGGGCACCGAGCATCGCTGTGGAACTGATGCTTCTGTCCCCTCAGATTATTAAACTGTCAGAAGACCCGATTTATCGCCAGTGAGTGCTGTATTTATTGTTTAATCTGTGTGGATTCTGATTCAGCCCAGGCCCCGTGTGATTATCGCATGGCTAGGCTCCTGTGATCTACGCACCCTAAGCTCAGCCCGGCGCGAGATCAGGAATTCAAGCCACGCTAGGCTCATGGCACAGCTGCAGCCACCTCCGAGGCTTGAAAATCTATTGCCCAATCCGGCTCGGCTCGCCGGGAGCGGCCTGGTGGTGACAGCTGGTGGGGCTCTGACTCCCTGCATAGCTCAGATGGAGAATGATTTGGAGCCGCCCAGAGCAGGAGAAAAGGGGGGCGGGGCCCGGCGATCTGTGAGGGAGAGACGCGTCCTTAGCTCTGCGCTCTTGGCCAGCGATGAAAGGCTGCTGCAGTGACAGCGGCCAGATGGGCGTCAGATGACACCGCGCCTTCCTAATGACCTGCAGGCCGGCAGGGCAGGGGGGGGTGCGGCTTTCCCGGCACCGCAGGCCAAGCTGCTGCTCGTCAGCGCGACCCGACGTCACCGGGCCAGTCCTGAGGCCACAGGTGCTGGATACCGAGGAGCTGGCCTGGCCTGGCCCTCCGCCGGGCGTTTGCAGGACGCCGTGGTTAATTTGTCCCTGCAGCCAGAGGACCCAGCGGTGGGGCTCCAGTTCCTGATTTGAAAGCAGCTCACAAATACAGGAAGCTCTCAGGGGATGAAAGAACACGTACAGGGATTCTGCAGGGAATGGCAGGGGACCATTGTCCTGTCTTCACACACACACACACACGTACGCGCACGCACGCACGCACGCACGCCCACATCCAGCCACAAGAAGGATGTGGACCACAGCAAGTCCGGTTCCCCAGCCCACGAAAACACATCATGTATCTAATGTGCACAAAGCAGGGCGCTCTATTCACCAGGAAAAGGGACAGAAAAATCGCCGTATCTCTAATCCAGGCCTTCGGCAGGCCGAGGCAGGAGGATGCAAGTTTGAGCCCAGCCAGAACAGCTCAGCGACTTACTGAGACCCTGTCTCAAAAGTTAAAAAAAAATTTTTTTTAAAGGGCTGGGGATGTAGCTTAGTGCAAAGGCCCTGGGTTCAATCTTCAGTGCTTTAAAAAAGAATTCAGAGGAATTTTTCATAACAGTAGTTGAGAACTAGAAGTCCCAGTAACTTTGCAATCAGGAATGATGGCCTGAATGTTAGAGGAAAGGAAAACACATAAACACAGTAAGAAGACGGCAACTGAGAAGGGAAATGGGAAATGGCTGTCAAGGTGCGGTTTTACAGCACCCTACCATCCGGCAAGTGTGTGCATACGAGCGTGGGTTACCCTGAATGTCTTGGTCATAAACATACAGAATGGCTTTTGTCAGGAAAGGCATGGAAGAGGCCAGAGGACTCCCCCCAGCCTGCTTCTGGAGTCTGCGTGCTGAACACAACCGAATGCCTGGTGAACCTCAGTTGTTCTGGAGGACCTAAGGGTTAGAAAGGTGGCATTTGGAGCCTGTCATCCTCCTGCCTCAGCCTCCAAGAGGCCTGGGATTACAGACCCTACCACTGTAGCTGACTTTCTCTGGACTGTGATGCACCCTGGCTCAGCACATAACTTCAAACCTCCGAGCTCGGAACTAGCTTAACCTCCCTCTCTGCAGCTTCTGCAGCAATAAAGTGAAGACGGCTGTATCACCTCCCAAGGCCTCATGGGGTTCTAATAATGTCACATACACAAACATTTTATCAGAGTGCCCAGCATATGATAAGCATTTAACAAATCAGCTGTCTTCGTAAAGGAATAATGAATCTGGTCGGGAAAAAGGTATCCTTAAAGAAGCTGGCTTCCTTTGAACCCATCATAGCACTGGTTATGGCCCAATTTAGGACTCTTCCAGAATATTCTGGGACACTCTGAAAGCCAATGCACGGTCTCACATGTTTTATAAGAAATATTCGTGGGTTGACGTTTTGACAGCTTTAATTTTCCATAGCTATGGTATTAAGTGTCTCAGGCTAAAAGGAAGTCCTTTTGTTAAAAAAAAAATCCCTGGGAAGGAATGAGGAGAGATTCCCAAGGCACAGGTGGCAGTGGGTGACCTGCGAAAAGCCCACCCAGAACACACCGGAGGCCGCTAGAACCGCAGGGGTGAGGACAGCTTAGGACAGCTCCAGGGTCACAGATGGCCCCGCGTGAGGCTGACACAGAAGACAGAAACCCAAACGTATGGAGCCGAGGAGAGTGCCTGGTGGTTGGGGACAATTAGAGACCAGCCTCAACTCAGCGGGCATTCACCACGGCCCACTGGCCTTCACTGTTCCCATCCGGCTTTGCTGTTCCTTCCCAGATGGCACAGTTCCCATGGCTCCGGGTGACACCGTTTTTAGCACTCAGAGCCTGGTCATGCCCCAGGCCGTGTCTGAGGTTAATAGAGCAGGCTGATCCAAGGAACGGGACTGGAAACTTGAAAATTGGTATCTAAGTAGAGGAAAAATGACTGCCCGTGGTTATCATTCCTTAGACACATTCTGTGGTGATTAAATTTGTTTTGTTTTGAGACAAGCTCTCTCTGCGTAGCCCAGGATGGCTTTAAACTCACTGCAATCCTCCTGCCTCAGCCTCCCAAGTACTGGGATTACATAGTAAACCATAGGCATGAGCCACCATGCCCGGTGTGGTGACTGAATTTTTAAGACTCAGAAAAAATAGCGGTTTTTTGTGATAAGGTATTATAAGATTTTCAGTCACTGCAAAAAATTATAGAGCAATTCTAGAACAAGAAAATTATTAAGTAAAAAATAACCATAGAGTTTCAAGGGATTTAAAGAACAAATTTTTCCATTTCCAGTTGTGACCAAAGTGGGCAATTTCACCTGTAGAGACCTGTAGGTCTCTCTCTGCCGCCTGTTGCTCTCCCTGGCACACTGCTGCTGCAGCTTCTGCTCCTCTCTGTCTATGCCTCCGATGTCTTTGGGAAGAGGGGATTCCCTCTTTCATAAAAAGTTCACAATGAGCC